CCTGAATGTTCAGAATCCATTAAAGTAAATATTAAATAATTTCCTTGTCAAAAGTTGAGCTGTAAACGCACTGAGATTACGTTTTACGTGTATGGCGTTTGTTTCCGCCAGTCCTAGTAAAATTTTTTCTTTGATATGTAAATGTGTTTCAGCTGTCATAAGTAACTCATTGACTGTGACGTTACATAAAAGCGTGGCCGCAAAACATCAAAAGGCTGGTTCGTTGTATAGTCCTTAACTTTGGATAAAAATTATATGAGAACAGAAAATATTCATTGATTCCTGTATGAGCCACCTGGCGGTCATAAGAAATGAATATCTCGTTGATTGAAACAAGTTAACCATGAAAAGCAGTTTTGACTGGCCTTAAAGAATATTCTACCCTGAAGGGTTTGATAATGTTATTACGAATTGACCAAAAGCACTGTGTACATTTCAATTGTCGTTTTAAAAGGTAAAGTAAAGTGGATCACACACAGATATTTCTCCAGTGGATACAGTTATCCACCTTTCTCACAACTGGATCCTGTACTTTAATTAGTCAATACAGGTATACTGTGTAGTGATTGACATGGATGTTTAAACGAGCTCCATCAGTTTTCTCTTTGGTTTTGTAAACTAGGTGGCTGAACTTTGAGAAAGTCATCGACGCTTTGCTTTCCAAGCCAGTTTATTACCTGAGTATAAAGAAGCTACGGACCCATGCCAAGGAGAAGTGCTTCATCCATGATGAGAAAGAGTTTACCACCATGGTGAATTTCTATCATGACCTGGGGATAATTATCAAGCACCGTAGCACAGTCATCTTGAATACCCAGTGGCTGATAAACTTGTTCGGACAGCTGATCACTCTTCCAGATTTTACGAAAATGGTAAGAAATGGATTTTAAACGTGTTTTAAAACTTGCAAGGTTTATTATAGTCCGGTTTCCAACCGTGCTGTAGCTAATAGAAATAATTATATCAAGTGCATTGCCCGCTGTCTTTCTGAAAATGTTAACTGTTCCTCAAATATTTGTAAACAGCAAAATCGTAGTGGATTGGGCTGCTATTTAATATTTTCCCAGTGTAAACAAGTTAGGGTAGGCGATGTAATTCTGAAATGAAATCTTATAGCAAACCTATAACAACTGAATTAGTACTAACGCCTGGTCAGCAGTCGTCCCTGTAATCAACCCGCTATAGTGACGTCACTAAGAGTAAACATTACAACGAAACATTTTCACTGCACTTTTTTATTTGAACGTTGTAATATCCCAAGAGGATTCTTGTTTCAATTTCGATGGACATCAGGTAACGTCACGAGGTACCCGATAACAGTAAGACAACAATTTTCCCCTTTTCTAGGGTCAATGAAATTGGACAACCAAACAGACTGAAAATATATATTGTATATAGAGAGGAAGCCCGAATTTTCCCCACCCAAACTGATGCACGCGAGGAGCGAATTGCGAAAAATTTATAACACTGCTCAACCTACACAAAAAAAAACGAAGAAGTTTAGCTTTTACCAAGTATTATTGTCTCCTACGCTGACCTCCTCCTAGATTACAAGTAGTCTCTTCCTCAGGAATAGTGGAGCGAGCGAATTACGCGAGCGCGCGTGAAATTTGTCAACCCTCGAGGAAGGTGACAAACGCTCCTGTATTCTATTCGTAGTCTATCCTCAGTAGTATATTAGGCGTAGAATCAGCCTTTTTTGCGGTGGAATCTTCGCTGGAATACATAAACGCCGATGACGTCATAACCTTTTGTCTTTATCTCATGAATAAAATGCGGTTGAATCTCTTTAAAGGGCTAAAATAGCACATGACCTTATCTTACGGCCAGTTTACGTCGAGGTGGAGGACTCTAGGTAGGTGAGGGTAACACAGGCCTTAAGATAAAGCCATGAGCTATTTTTAACCCTTTGGACAGGGTTTCCAGTTATTTCTTGGTAGAAGAAGGTCTTGCTTTTTGATTGGTTGACGACTACATGTAAGAACTAGGAAAAGTATTCATTGGTTGATTCAGGTTGTCGAAGGAATAAGCGCTAACTCGCCTGTGACGTAGTTATGCAAGTTACATTTCATACCGCTTTCATTGTTCAATAAGTTGTTCAGGTTTACTATGCGCTCAAATCGTTAAGTACGAAGCCACACTAGCCATTTCTATCACGAAAAACATTTTTCCACTTTCCCACATCCCTTTTTCCTTTTCCACATTTCATTGTTTCACATTGTTTCCTTCCACCACAACAACCACGTTTCTATTGTTTTCTCTAAGCGGGAGGTTATGGTGAACGTTGTAAAGAAACGAAAACTTAACTTCGTAAATCTTCTAACGTGATAGGAAAGAATTGTGTGACGAACCAAACGGAAGGCTGCTTAGAGGGCTATCCTCTCTACTTTTATTCACACAGTAGTACTTGCTAGGCAGACTACGTAACTTTTTCTTTATATGCGTCCCCACACAAAAAAGGAAAACTCTAGATCTTTTTCATTGTTTGTTAATTAAAATATTAAATAAAATAACCAACATTTTACAAGTTCATTAATTAACTGGCTCAAAATTCTCCCAAAATATCACTTTTTAAAGAAAACTTTGTTATTGTCCTTCACCTTATTCCGTCTTAGGTTCCTAAGGTTGCCAAGTACTGGAAGGAAGTCAAAGAAAGCGGTGTTCTCTCAATGGAACTGGTTGATCTTGTGTTTTCCAACTTTCTCCTGAAGGGTGTTGCCAGGAAAGACATTCTTGATTTGATGGAACAATTTGGATTGATTGCAAAATTTTCATCTTCAAAGATAGGTGAAAAGTATTTTGTTCCATGTCAACTCAATGTGTCACCTGATTCTCTTTGTTCCATGGTGCCCTCAAGGCTGGACCCTTGTCCCCTGTTTGTTTACTTTTTCAGCGGTTCTGTTCCCCATGGTCTGTTCACGCGGCTTCTTTCTCGATCTGTCCATTGGTGTTCAGAGGCTGGTCCAACTCAATCCCCTACCCTGTACCAAAATGGAGCGTGGTTTGTTATTGGGAAGCAAACTTTTCATGATTTTGTTCTTATTTGTAAGAAGCAATTTATTAAGTTTTTTATCAAGCAAAGAAACCACCCTCAGCAGATCTCTGTGGAAAGCACAAGTGAGGTGGCGGTGCAGGTTCGTGAGTTTGTGGAGGCAACATTGCAAGCTTTGTCACATGATCTCTATAAAGGTGGATTGCAGTATCATATTCGGGTCGCCTGTCCGTATTGTCAGCGGGAAAAGTGTCCAAACCATAATCAGATTGCATGTTCTCATGAAGATTGTCTTCACCTCCTTGAGTTAAAACAAGGTAATCCTCTGATTTGCAAAAAGAAACCTGCAGAGGAGATACTCACAGTTACAGGGCAGCAAAAGTGGTTCTCACAAATAGAACGTAAGGTAGGTAGCAGTAAAATTCGATCTCTAGCAGTGCTCTTAGCATATTACATATAGCAAGCGAATACACATACTACTAATAAAAACTTATGTCCTTAAAAAGGTAGCCATTGATTTAAACTAAAAGGCTTCAACAAAGTCTATGCATGTACTTTGTTAGGTTGTAGTATGATATACAACGTATGCCTTCATTTATCCTACCGCAAGCTTCTCTGCAGTGTAATAGAAGGCTTTGTTGCTGTCAACTTAACCAACATTGGTTCTTAATATCATGTAAGTTGATAAGGTCAATTGGCTACCATGTATTACTAATTGTTATTGGCCTATAGGCATTAACCAGTAGTATCTAACTTTTTTCCCGAGTCTTTTTAACGTGCTGTTTGCTTTGTGGTTGAGCAATAAGTTTATAGCATCCAACGTGTTAACATGTTTTGCAAACTTTCATTCAAAAGGTAGAAACCCCAGATGTAAAATTTACATTTTATAATATGCAATTTTGGTTGCTATGCAGGAAGCGTGTACTTTATCATCATCACCTGATTCTGAACAAGCTCGTCCAGAGCGTCTGGTACTGAAAGTTACACTTCTCGCTAATGAGTGGGGTCGTCTAAGGGTGGCTTGTCAACAATGAACAGAACTCTTGCCATACATTTGGCAAAAGACGCAAACGTAGAAGTCACCATTCTTGTACCTGAATTTGAGTGTGGCGAAGAGGATAAGAGAGCTGCCAAACGTCACAACATTTCCATCCGTGAAGCAGGGCGCCTTTCTGCCTTCAGTGATCCTCTTGACTGGTTGAGTTTTCCACCAGATGACCTTGACATCCAGGTTGTGATCGGCCATGGAGCAAAGCTTGGTAGACAAGCGCAAATTGTCAGAAAGTCTCATTGCTGCAAGTGGGTGCAGGTTGTTCACACTGAGCCTGAAGAGCTTGCGATGCATAAGAAATATCCAAGCGCCATTGCGAAGGGAGAAGAGAAGAACAGAGCGGAAGTTGACCTTTGTCAAATTGCAGATCTCGTTGTAGCCGTTGGACCCAAGTTAAAAGAAGCGATCGCGTGCAAGTTGCGTTCATCTCATCGAGACATCTTTCAATTAATACCAGGTTCCTTTGCAGAGTTTCCAGATATTGAACATGCTGCACAAGATGGTGTAAATTTCAGAGTATTGACCTTTGGTCGCGGTGATTTGGAAGACTTCAGTCTTAAAGGATACGACATTGCCGCTCAATCCATAGTTGAATTGAAGGACAGTACTTATAGCCTTGTTTTCGTTGGTGCTTCCGATGGAAAGCAGGATGAAGTCGCAGAACTCTTACTCCAAACTGGCATTTCAAAGAACCAGCTGATTGTGAGATCATTTGTGAAAGACAAAAAAAGATTGAGAGAGTTGTTTTGTGAAGTTGATCTGGCCATCATGCCATCAAGAACTGAGGGGTTTGGTTTGACAGCATTAGAGGCCATGTCAGCTGGTCTTCCCATTCTAGTTAGTGGAAACTCCGGATATGGAAAAGCACTGCGTGGTCTTCCAATGGGTGAGTCTTTTGTGATCGACTCTGATGACCCCAAGGAATGGGCAAAGGCAATTGCAGCCATCCGTCAAAAATCAAGGACACAGCGGCTTGAGGAAATCCAAAGACTGCGAATAAGTTATGATGAAAGATTCTCTTGGGACAGACAGTGCCAGGCCCTTGTTGCAAGAATGTGGAAGATGGTCTATGGTAAGAAATCAAATTTACCGATAGAAAAGTAACGATAATAATAATAATTAGTACTTGAAAATGTTAAAATGCATATCTTATCAGGATTATCCTTCATTTGACCTTCTTCTTTCATCACTGTATGGCCATGGCTTCTGCAATAGCGAGTGCATAAATACATTTTTACTATATTATGTTTCGTGGTCCACGTGCATCGCTATTGTCGTTAGCCTTTTTAACCTTAATGTTAGCATTCACACTCTCCACACTGTTCTCCATACATATCTTGTGTTACTGATGAGGAGAATTTGTTTAATAATCAAAATCTTTTTTACCGGCTTATCAATTCTATTCTTTAAAACTTTTATGTATAATTTTATAAAATGTTGGCTACACTTGAAGGAGTTAACGATAAAAGAAAATTAAAATCTATAACATTGCGATACATCAAAGTCGTCTGATTTCTATTCGGCAGCAATTTTGGGGTTCTCTTGTATATAAAAAGAAAATAACAAAAAAAGCCCAGCCAAACTTTTGGGTCATAACTTATAACAAAAAATGAATGGAAGCCTTAAAGGTTGGAATCTTCCTTTTTTTAAGTGACATTTTTTTGTTATAATCAACACTTTTTTTAATTTACAGGTCTTGAAAAAAACAAAGAAGGTGACTTTCCACCGAACGACTGTGAAAAAGTTGCTGCAACAGGACCGATGGCAGGTAAGAGTGAGGTTATTTTCTTCTGTTGAACAAGGGTGCTTTCGATTATTCGGATGCTTTTAGCTTTTCAATGTTTAGTGTAGCATCTCCGAGTAAACTGACGTATATGTAAAATAACTGTTTCCCTCTCCCGCTTACAGTCTCCCTTGCTTGCTGGGTTGGAATCCCAGTTTATCTAGTCTTAATAGCGATGTAACTATCATAGACTGAAATAGCAGTCCCTAAAGCTCCTGTCTTCCTTGCTCTTTTGTGCGTTGTTGCTCAGGGCTCCCATTGATAACAGACAGCTTTTTGCGTCTGAAGGGGCTACCCTGAGCGGCATAAATTAATAAATGTTCTTCTTCTTCTTTTTCTTCTTGTTTCCCTTGCTCGCTGGGTTGGAATCCCAGTTTGTCTAGTTTTAACGATGATTTAACTATCATAGACTCAAATATTAGTCCTGAAAGCACCTGTCTCCCTTGCTTGGAATCCCAGTTTATCTAATTTTAATAGTAAGTTTTAACTATCATGGATTACAAAATCAGTCCTGGGAGCACCTGTCTCCCATGCTTGCTGGGTTGGAATCCCAGTTTATCTAGTTTAATAATGATTTAACTATCCTAGACCGAAATATCAGTCCTGGGAGCTCCTGTCCCCCTTGCTTGCTGGGCTGGAATCCCAGTTTATCTGGTTTTAATAGTAAGTTTTAACCATCAGACACTGAAATATCAGTCCCGGGAGCTCTTGTCTCCAGTGCTTGCTGGGTTTGAATCCCAGTTTTACAGGCCAAGCCACTTAAATTCACTGCTAATTTTAAACTTTACAGGTGTTGAAAAAACCCAAGATGACCTTCCACAGAATGGTTTTGAAAAAGATGCTGCAACAGGACCGATGGCAGGTGATGTCATTGTTTGCTTTGTCAATTAAACCAAAGCCAAAATATATTTTTGCAGTAGAGTGCAGTTACTTTGTTCTTTTAAAACCACAGTAATTTTTCTGAAATTGTCGACTGTTGTAAGTTTCAGACTAGTGCACTGTGCTGCACCTGTTTTATGGAACTCGCTGCCATTAACTAAAAGAAGAAGTAGGAGCCATTTTTAAAAAGAATCTTAAAACATTTCTTTTTAGGAAAGCTTATACTTTACTAGAATAACTCTGAAGTTTAGTGCTTGAATATTTTAATTTTAATTTTGTATAGAATTTTAGACTTTTTAGTTTTTCGCATAGCATGGAATTTTTTTATTATTATTATTATCGTTATTATGAGCTTTTTAGGAATTTTTTTAATTGTAACTTAATGTGAAGCGCTTTTGAATATTTTATAGTTCTAGCACCATACAAATTCTTTATCATTATCGTTATCATTATCATCATCTCCTACAAAACTGGCGTGAAATAACCTCTATCTTATTTTGTCTTTTTCATCTTCCGCTTTCAGGTGAACTCATTTTCCGTACACTTCAACAAATCCTGCTGCAAGCACGCACAGAGTCCAGCAAGACTGAGCTTTCGCAGGCGTTAAAGAAGACTGCGTTGGAAAAAGGTTTTGCGATATCTGACAATCAAGGAGAGGGAAACTGCATGTTTTTTGCACTTTCAGAGCAGCTTGACCTCATCAAAGGAATTCAAATCTCCCATGATGAGTTACGCCGAACTGTTGTACAACACCTTCGGGAAAACCCCAGGCTGGTAAGTATCTTATTACCTTATTAGGGTGCACACATTTGCAGTATACGAGCATAGCTGTGGCATTTGCCCGCTACATTGTTTTAATTCCTCTTAAAGTTAAAAACAATAAGGCCCTGTCCACACGTATCCGAAATACGCGTCCACACAAAGCGTATTTGAATCTTTTTCGCCCGTCCACATAAAAACGCTAAAATGATTGAAATACGATAGCAGCCATTTACAGAGCATGCGCAGTGTTGTATTCTAAATCCTCTGTATTCGTCCATCCGCACGTCGGTTTCTAAAATCTCCACTCTTTGGACCATTTATGAAAACCTGCTTCTTCGGCGCCCGAAAATGCCGATCACGTGTAGACGGAAGGCTAAAATGGACAAATAAATCTCCGATTTAAAAAATGTATATATCCGGATATGCGTGGACGGGGCCTCAAATTCCTGCAATTGAATGTGACGGCTTTACGGGTATGCTGCAAATGAATCCACCCTTTATGAGCCAAACATCAGCTCTGCATGAGCATCACGCTTGTTTGTACTTTGGGATCAATCTTAGCAGCTGGGGTTGATCCGTACTTTGCTTCGTCGTTCACTGCACGACTGCGACGCAAAACGTCTGTATGCGACGTTTTGTGGAGGGCGCCGAACCCCCCACAGTGACTAAATGAGCGCGATAAATTTTGAGAGAACGCACATTCTTTTCCCAAGTTACTTTTCGAGTCGGAGGCATAAGTGGATACCGAGAAATTTTTTTATTTGTTTTTGTCGGCTCGATCGTCATGCTCATGTCCTATTTTATTTTTCAACTGTACGGTATTTTGCTAAACTTGAAATGTCGACCAACACCAGTTTTGTGTGAACAGGATATGACTACATACTGGTTTTAAAGTCGCAATTTCCAAACTCACATTATTTTAACAGTAAACATCCCTTCCCTCCTCTCTCTCTTTCTCTCTTACACGTGTAACGAACACCACCCTAAAACCTACTCCAACTCCCTAAAAGTGTTGGTCCCTGCCGTTCTTAACTGTTGGTTTTTTTTTGACATTTTTTAGGAGTAGTATAGGTCACATAGGTTAGACCCCTTTTTGTAGTCGAATCTTGTTACTGTGAAGTTACGTCGATGACATGACATCTTTATCTCAGCAATAAAATGCGGTGGAATCTCATCAAGATAACGTCGCGAGCTATTTTTATGTAGTATTTAGTATATCCAATTATTCTTATATTGATGATGTAACTTGTTGGGATCTTGTCCTTATTTTGTGAGAATGATGTGGTAGATCATTCTAAATTATGTGCGTCATGTTTTTAATTATTTGGTCATGAAGACACCTCTGAACCATGACGCCTTCATTGTCCATTGCAGACAACTTAATCTGTGTTCACACTATACCGTATAGTTTTTTCGCGGGCACGAGAATCATACCGGATGGGGTTTCAGTTCACACATAAGAACGGTGATTTCGGCGCGATTTCTGTTAAACGGAGAGAAGCTGTGCTGCACCGATCTCTTAAGTGGAGAGTCACATATCGGATACGATGTTCATACTATACTGGATGGCTTTTCGTGTCGTCACCAAAGCTTATCTGGTATAGTATGATCATAGCTTTATTGTTCTGGTTCCGGTTCACTGATTCTTGGCGCGCAAAGGAGATAAAGACGTCATCGACGTTAATTCATTTCACTTTAGAAAAGACGTCTACCTGGCTCCTCCTATACTACTAAGGTCAACAAATCTCTGCTTTAATACTTTAATAGGGATACTCCTAAAACAGTGTACACTATACTAGTGCTGATACCAGTGGGGTCAGCCTTAGAGAGAACAAACAACGCGGCTGTCTAAATAAAATACCTTCTACAAAAGCACTCTACCTTTTTCTCTATTAACTACAGTATTTTTCTTTCTTTCTTACAGCCGGATGGGACAGAACTGTTTCATTTTGTTGATGGATATCCATCTTGGGATGCCTACCTCACAAGTATGATGGCAGATGGTACATGGGGTGATCACGTGATTCTACACGGCGCGGCAAACTGTTTTCAAACGTGCATCCACGTGATCAGCAGTCTGCGGCATCGCCATGACGTAATGATCTGCCCAGAGTATGATGTTGCTGGTCGCAACCGGCTTGTGCTGGGTCACCTGCACGAGCTTCACTATGTTAGCCTTATTCCACATAAAGGAGGTAAAGATGTCTGATTATACTGTGATTCAAGAGTTGCTAACTCGCGTTATGAAATGGAAGACATTTGAGTGGAACATTTGACCTTAATTGTGGCACCTCATTTGCAAAGATGTTGGAAGACATAAGAGGTCTATTTTTTCACATGTACAGGTTTTAATCCGTCAATTTTCTTATGACTGTACAATTAGCCGTTTTAATAGTGAAAACTAAAAACATTTTCTGCCTAAAAAAATTCATGCAGCCTCCTCAATTTTTCGATAAATTACTGTAGTTTTCTTAATAGAACTTGATTTTTAGGGCCAGCACCTTGCCTGCAGTCCCCTGTAAATACTCCACCATTAGACCCTGTTGTTGTAAAAATCCTTGGAAAATATGCGTACTAATGATTACCTAGTTTCTCTCTCTTTGAGTCATGTCGCTAATGATTATGACTGTCACTGTAGCGTATGAACACTCGGTTTTAACGTCTGTCAGTATACAGGTCAAAATTTTTTTTCTAGCAATTTCATTAACATTTAGAGGTTGAGAACAATTTTTGCTCCAGTTGTTCCTTGCTTGCAGTCTTTGAAAATATTCAGTGTCAGGTTCCATACTGAGTAGAATTTATTCGTATAGGATCAATCCTTTTTAAAGATATTCGTTACCACAGAACTTAGTCAAAGACTTTTCTAATCGAGTTCTTTAAGAATTGTTCCTGTTTCTGGTGCGCTTTTATCAATCTGTAAATATTTTCAGCCTCGAATAACTCTTTCATTGACGAGTTATTAATGTTTAAGACTAATTTCTGAATGACAGCAATCCTTAACTAGCTTGCGAATACAGAAGCCTCTAATTACGCCTCGTTGCTGGGGAACACCAATTCCTTATCATACTATGTAAGTATTTCAATATAGTAGAAGTAATTCATCAGAGTATTTTTCTTACTATTGTATGTTAATATATTCCCAAGGCCACTGCCTCTATTTTGGTACATCAAGTAATATATATAGGTTATAGTAAAATTAGTTACTTAGTGAGAGTCTTTTTATAATTTGCTATAGTGTATTAACTAATAAATTAAAACGTACTAGTGTTAGGGCGCCGGACCGGTTATTTCGTAATTGAAATAGGCTTTTTAAAGGAGTTTTGGCTAAAATTAATACATATCAACCGATGCATATTATTCACAAATTGACTCATCTCAGGCTGGACATTTTTAGTTAAAAGAGTAGTTCTCATTACAACGTGGAGGCGTGTGTGACTGAGCGGTTAACACCTCGAACTCTGGATCTGGAGGTCCGGGCTTCAAGCCTCGCCCGTCGCGTTGATTCCTTAGACAAGGAATTTTACTCCACTTTGTCTCTCTTCGCCCAGATGTATAATGGGTACCGGCGACATACTGCTGGGGGGTCATCATCATCATCATCTTTATTTAATCACGGAATCTCATTGATAAAAATGCTCTTCCAGAGACCCGTGCAAAAATCATGCAATAAAATAACATTAGATAAGTATAGTTATTAAAATGGTTCTAAATTTACAAATGCGAGAGAAATAATTTCAAGCTTCTGTGTCCTTTAACGGCGTTTGATGGACTATTCCAGAGAACGGCCCTTCTATAGTGGAAGCTGTTTTTTTCAGCCTCAGTATACAGTCTTGGTTCAAACAAATTATATTTTGAGTTCCTTACATTATACGTGTACATAGGAATTGTACTATTAAAAATTTGAGTAGCCTGCGTAGCAAGCGTTTCCGTGCTGTTTCGGAGCAAAGAAAGACCGAGGAACGAGATTCTCGGTTTTGGCCGCGCGAGAAATGATTTTTCGCGCGGTCCTTGCTCGGAAACAGCACGGAAACGCTTGCTACGCAGGCTAAAATTTGAGGCACATGATCTGGTGCAATGTGATTTTTCAATTTATACATTATCGTGGCAAATTGACCTGTCCTTCGCGTCTGAAAATTATCCCACCCAAGTTCATCCAGTATCTCAGCTGATCGCCTATCGTAACTAGACGAAGTTACCACTCTGGCAGCTCTGCTTTGGAGGGTCTGGAGTCTGTTACGCATCCCTTCCCCACAGCTCCCCCACACTATACTACAATAATCGAAATACGATCATAGTACAATGGATTTGAACATCGTAATTAATGAATGATAAGGTATGAGATGCCTTACATGTCTCAGAACTCCAATTCCTCCAGAAGCTTTCTTAGCAATTTTGTCTACATGATCTCTCCAAGTTAATGATTGATCTATTTCAACACCAAGATATTTATAACCCTGCGATGGACTAGCATCCCGTCCAGTGAGGGAGTAGCAATACTCCTAGGCTTGCTAAATGCTACGGAAACCGGTATAAGCTCCGGCCGTGTGGGTCTTTGGCTCGTGTGCGCCTTTACTTACCTTTCCTCATTAAAACGGGAACGGGGGAGCGGTCTGGCTGCCGGTCAATTCTGACAAATGAACAGTGCTCTTTACCCCTTAGTTTAAAACACCACTAATAATGCTTTGTGCTACAGACATTTTGATTTCATGCATGCTATCAGCTTCCGCTCCAGTTTCCTAGTAATGTTTGCTAAATTAAAGTTGTATAATGTACTTTATTCTATTATTTAAGAAGCAAATTTGCAAATTGTAATCAGTTTGAGACTTTATATTGTGAAGAGATTGACCACTGTAAATATACTAATTTGACTTTTTTGTAAATAAAGATCTCTCTTCCAGTTTTATTTATACATTAAATATGTGTCTAAACAAGTCTAGTTAATCCCTCAATTAGCCATTGAATGGAGGTCCCAGTCACGAATAAGGACCCTACTTTCCTTCACATCACGAATCATGTATCTAACATCCCATTATTGCAGAAAATTATCTCCAGGATTACGATCAGTTAGTGTCAGGTCTGGTCCGGTTTCAGTTCATGTTTTTTCTGAGCGTTGACAAGGTTGCGGGTAAAGCTTTAAAACAATCTTAGAAACGCATCAGCCCAGCCTGAGAGAATGCGTTCAGGATCATTAATTCTTTGGCATGTTACAACGTGAGTCACTATATGAATAGATATATTAGCAGCTAAATTCGATTTGGTTTTTTCACGAATACTTTCCGAAAGAACAGCGAATCAGGGGCCTCAAAATTAGGTGACCGGAAATTCACGGATCACAGCATTTCGAGCTCTCTATATGAAAGTCAAACGGACTTAGTGACACAGGACAAGATCGCAAAACCAGCCCAGATCGGTTCAAAAACAAAAAAAGACAAAAAAAGCAAACACTAGGACACAAACTATAGCACAAGTAAGTAAGTATCGGTAAGTAAGTGAGTAAGTAAGTAAGTGTCGAATCGGGTGGATGTAATAGTAAATAAAGCAAAACCGGGTGGGCCTACTAAAGCGAACAGTTGGTAGCTAGAACAGAGAAATTTTCTCTATGCTCTGTGAGTCCTTGGTAATATCGGTCCTATCCGGCGAGCAAGGCGAAACGAAAAGAGACTTCGTAAGAGAAAATGTATATGAGAACTGCTAAAATTGGGCCTGATCTCAGGTTGTAATCAGCCTTGCTTCTTTTGCTCCACTTTTTAATCGAGGTGCACAGAGGCTAAACACTTTGTCATGCATGAATGTTTTTCCTTTGGGTTTCACTTTGCATAAATTTTTGGGGGGACATTTTCTCTTGCTCGAATTTTTGTTTTTGGTTTTTCGCTACCCCAACCATCACTTGACTTGTCAGATAGGACACAAAGCGTTGTAGTGAATGGATCAACATCTAATCCCCAATCCTTTTCGGTCCCTTGTTATTTATAATCTACATCAACGATGTACCCTCGGTGGTAAAGCATTGTAAAATCCAACTGTATGCGGATGATACCCTCCTATAGGTTAGCAGTAGTTCCATCACCGACATAGAATCTATGCTATCCAAAGATCTTAAGCATATAATAGAGTGGCTTAATAATAACTTCCTCTACCTTTAACTATAGCAAAACTAAGGTAATGTTGACTGGTACACATCAGAGGCTTGCCCTAGTTGATAGTTTCACAGTCAGAACAGGGGACACTGTCCTGTCACGAGTCTATCCTAAGTATCTCGGCGTTATGCTCGATCCATACCTCTCGTGGAATGACCACATAGACTACATCGGGCGCAAAATATCGGCAAAGCTCGGCATGCCTTCGTAAAGCGCGCAAGGTCATTCCGCGTGAGTTGTGTTTAACACTTAATAACGCCGTGAAACTTCCAGTATTCGACTATTGCGCCGTTGTATGGTACTCCTGCAGTAAGGCTGACCGAGAGTACTTGGATTAGCAACATAGGCGTGCCGCCAGTATTATCGAAGGCTACACAGTTTCACAATCGCAGACATCTCACACTTTCGGTTGGCCTACGCTCCAGTCTCGCCGGGACTATCAAAAGTGCATGCTAGTGTTTAAGAGCCTTCGTGGCTTTGCTCCAGCATATTAACTTAATGAATTTAGCCACTCGCGCGATTTCCATTCCTATAACACGCGCTATAAAGATTTGCTCCGTCTGCCGCTAGCTCATCCTCGGAGACCCAGGGTCAGATAGTGGGGGCAAGGGAAAGTCTAAACGGGCTGAAAAATAAGGACTTTCTTTACTTTTCTTTTGCGCCATATTTTTCCGCCTGTTTAGACTTTCCCTAGCCCCCACTATCTGCCCCTGGGTCTCCGAGGATGCCGCTAGCTAGGACTGCTAGTACCAAGGCTCCTTTAGGGTCTCCCGGAACCAAGATCTGGAACACTTTTCCTCTGGCCCTGAGGAGCCAGCATTATTTACATAAATAAGTTTAAGTTTGGCCTCAAAAGGCACTTTAGATTCAAGCCAAATTGAGCCTCCAATACTTTTGCTTCACTTTGTGCTTCCATTTTTTATCTGTTAGTGTTACTGTCTTTTGTATTTGTTTTTCTTTTCACCAGGGCCCCATTCAAACCAGCCTCGTTGAACTGGGCACCCCTGAATAGATATTGTTCAAAATAAAATAAAATAAAACAAAAACCATCACTTTCCTTATTATATAGTCCGTTCCCGTTGTTCCTTCTGGTCGTCACGCTTCCGCTTCCGGCGTCACGCTATAAAGACTCTAGGCCCTGGGAACGAGGGGATCATGAATGAAGTGGAAGTTTGCCAAGATTTCATTGCATTCCGTGAGAACAGTCGCCATATTAAGACGAAATTCATCAACGTTTTCTTCCTCAGATCAGCAGCCTTAGGTAAGAGTTGTATATTACATATAGAATGCTTCACAGAAAGTGCCTAGTTATGGTATTTCATACGACCGAGTTGCTTGGTTGAAGTATGAAAAATCTCACTTCCTGCGTGCTTTCGCTATATACAGTACTCGTTCCATGGTTATTTCAGTTTGAACTCGAACTTGAAAGTGGTTAAGATATTTAATACGACCGAGTTGTTGAGGTATAAGAAAGCTCACTCCCTGCGCTTACTCGTGTCTGCAGCTCGTGTTTAGTACTCGTTCCATGGTTATCAACTTTAGAATATTTTCCCAGCCACTTATTTTCATCTCTGTGAATGACAAGCATGCTCTTAAGCTTTAAAGCAGAAATGAAGTGGCCAAATATACGTAAGGGTGCGATTACTTTATCTGGAATTGGAATACATAGAATAACCGTTCAAATGACCAGTTATTTCAATTGTGGAAGAAGTGGAAGTATATCAGAGACCTTAAGATACGCCATTTCCTTGTATGGGTATGGATAGATTACCTGGCCTGTCACTAGCCATAAATACGGGCAGACCGCCTTACCCCATCCTTGGAGACCCAGGGGCAGTCAGTCGGGTAGCATTACAACTTCATGCCGATTTAAGTGTGTATTTCAGAAATGGACATAACCGCTGGATTTTGTACCTTGAAGGCTCAATTTATTCCTCCGGACTTTCCCTTCGAGAGTGCTCGTTTTGACTCGGTTCAAAGAAGGTGAGATTTTATGGCGGAAGACTCAGAAGCGAATTCAAAGGAATTGAACAATGGCTTAATTAAGCTGCCCAGGGCCACGAAGTTTTAAAGGTATCCTTTTGTTCTAAATGTGTCAATAAAACTGCGGAGAATTATCTCACATATCGCGGTAGAAGTTTATGGATTTAAGTCTTTCGCAAAACTTCTTCGACTTGGGTACATATTTTTCAAAAAGGAGAGTTTTGAGAGCTTCAAAACGAGATCTTGAACGAGAAATTTTGACCACTGTGGACCGAGAGTGGATTTTTTTTCTTGCCGAGGTTTCAAAGTACAAAGCAAGCCACTGAAGCATTTTTTCTCGCCTATCGCTTGATAAAATCCGGCAGGCCGAGAGTTATCCATTCATTCAGTTATAACAGTCATTCATTTCTCCAGAGCAATCAAACTATACAAGCGATTCTACGAAATTATTTCGAGGAATTATGAACTCCGCAAGTTTTGATCTGTCGATTACAGTTTTAGATATTTCCTGTCTCACTTGATTAGCTCCGCGAATCAAGTTGTCATGCAAATCGGTGAACTGACAATTCTTCGTTTTCACTGTCACGCAATAAACACGGCACAAAAAAATACATTTGAAACCGTCCAGTGGAAGAAGCCAAGAAAATTAAATGTTATAAAAGACTAATATATAAACAATTTGTCCAAATCTCAGGTCTTTGTGGCCCACAGTTTCTGAGTTAGTTGCCGAAACATTTCACGCACCTTTGTAGAGCTTTGTATGGAGACGCCATATTCTGTCCACCAATATGGCCGCCGGAAATCAACAAAAACATCTGGAGTTCACTTTTTCTATAAAAGCTTCTCCTTTTCACTCGAGAACTAGCATACTTGCGCATAAACATATCTTCTAATACTTGAAATGGTTAAACTGCTGAAAATCAAGCGGAGAGACTTTTTTCAAGGAGATAACATTCCTATTTTGGTGTCACGCACTGTGAAAACTCGGAAGATCAAACTGCTGTATTTTCGAAATGAAACATGCTTCTGGGCTGGAAACTTGTACAAAGATTTATTTCCTATTAATCTTCAACCTAGTGTGAATAAGAATTCGTAAAACCACTCTTTTTTGACTCTGCAATCTGATGACGTCACCGTGAAAACCAGCGGTTATTTCGGGCCCTGCAGTCACATAACTGAAACGCAAGGTTTTTTCAACAAAAAAAACTGAAAGGCAAGCGAAAACGCCCAAAAAAGTGAAATTACACGCTAATAAATCTGTGTCATCCTGTTAAATGGATTCACCGCTTGCGTTGTTTACATTTTGAAGAGAGTTGTTCTTGATTGCAGAGCGCAGGTTTTGATAATACTGAATGAATAAAACGTTCTAATAAATACCTTCTGCAGCAATTCTTTAAACGCCAAATTATTTTCAAGGCAAGGGAGTATTTAATAAAAAATACCATAGGAGACCAGGTATTTATAAGCTTTAATCAACTTCAAATTTATCAGGCTTGTGTCCTTTGTAATACGGTGCGTGACCGAAAATATGTTGTGCAACCAGAGTTGTCTGCCACGCTTAAAAGACTTGTAAGCGTTCCCACAGACCGCAGCAAATTTAGCAGGCAAGCTAAGTACGAGTATTTTAATGGATAAATTTAATACTCATCAGGTAACAATGGGGATTAAAAAGTCAATCAAGCAACAAAATTCGAAACAAAAGAGACATATTGCACCTAAATCAAAGGAATTCCGCTCGTGGATTCTTCGGAAGGTAATCGACAACGGCAAGAAGGAAAGCCTGAATATATGAATACTTGATGACCCCAAAATTTGGGGCACACACTTAAATCGGCGTGAAGTTGTAATGGGGAGAAAAGGGGTGACAAAAGTTTTCAAGCCCAGGTGAAAAAGCCCCTGGGTACCAACTCTCACCGGATCATTTCCAAACAGTCAAGCAAATGCTGGCTCCTGATTGGCCACAAAACATGCTTTGTATTATTGTGCCCAATCGGCGAATAGTTTCTCCTGAGATCTTTTCGTGACACGATGGCCATTTTCTCGCCACAGCTGCCCGGTTTGTTCACCAAGCTTTCCTTACCAGAAATGAAGATGCTACCAATGGGTCGGAAAACTGGGTGCTATCAGCAGGAGCAATTCAATTTGCACTGAGAAAATTCTGTTTCTTAACGGATCACGATGTATCATAAATAATAGGAGGTTTAAGATGCAGCGGCAACGAGAAAGTAAAAATTGCAATAGCTTGACAAGACAAAACAACAATTTTGCACGTGTATCCTCCATCACCCGCTTTTGTACATTTCTTTGCTGTCACTGCACTACCACCACGTGAAAATGCCTAATTTCATGTTTTGTGAAGAACGCAAGCAAGCAATGACAAAATTTTCTTCTCTTTATGAACTTCGATATGGTTGATAGAAATTCAGCTCCAGAAGAGTTCGCTTGCATTTGACAAAGTAAGCGAGTTGGAATAATCACGATAGAGACTAAAAAAATGTGAATTCACTTTTCAAGCTCAAGCTTGTATTTTTGGAAAAGCGTCTTTAGTTTTTGGGTAGACAGTATTTTGAAATGGAGAGTTTGTATCAAACTGAAAGTTTCCTGACTGCCTGCATTTCTTTGGTGCATGAGCCAGAAAAGCCATGATCAAGTCAGTAGCCGTCGTGTACAAACTCACGAAAAGAACTGAGGAGACGCTGTTCACCGATTGGGCACAATAATACAAAGCATTTTTTGTGCCCAATCAGGAGCCAGCACTCATTTGACCATTTGGAAATGGTCTGGTGAGAGTCAGTACCCAGGGGCTCTTCCGCCTGTGCTTGCACAGGCGGCCCAAACTCACATTGCGAGGAAAGGGTGTACATAATGTCATTTACGTAACATAGGTGACGCGCCGGTGTCACGTTACAGGCGACCGTTGAAAATATAAGAGACTTTGTATGAGAAATATATTACTGAGATCTACGCACGCTAAATAACGCTAAACCTTACTTTTTCTTAAATGAATTGAATAAAAAGGACTTACTTGCAATGTATTCCACTGCATTTTGGTGTCTGTTTGTCGTTTTACTGTATTTTTGGCTTTATTGCATAGCCACTGTTACTCCTTTCATAGAACGAAGTGAAGGCTGATCACTTCGATCTGTCGGGGTCCTGGACCAGTCGCAACAAGAATGCCG